CACTCTGCCCAGGTCAAAACACCGGAGAGGACACAGCCCTGGACCCACTGTCACACGAACTGCTGTCTGAGGTCAGACCGTTTTTCTGTCCAGCAGCTGCTTCTCATTGGTTTCATACCAAGAAAGAGCAGCTTCACTCTGGTTTTACTTTCTGAACATAGACACCTATTTTCAGCAATGGGTCCTAAGCAGGGTCCTTAATTTATGTCACCGTAGATAACTGAGCTGCTTCAAGCTGGTGGCAGTTATGAAGTATGAGCACGGGCTGACGTCCTAGCTGCTCTTTGTGCTACTAAGCTCTTTCTTGCTGCATGATTTCAGCATCCTGCCCTTGAGCCTGATTTCTACTGCATAACGTGAAAAATTTCGTCATGACTAATCCTTTTACAGACCTGAGATTGTTGTTAGTTCTTGACCTTGAAGGGTTTTCAGATTTCCTCCTCTGATTTATGGATATGTCTCAGGGTTTGATTTCTGTGTGGTTTCAGAGTAGATGCCAACAATCCGTTTTTATTAACAGTACAAATTTAATTTTTTTTTTTTATAATTGCTTGAGGAAAGAAGGAATATTAGGAGTTGATTCCATCTGTGAAATGTAGAATTTTGATCAAGTATGAGAAACAGAGGAAATGGCATAAAGGTGACATTTCTGCTTAGTTGATTTCTTGATGCCAGCCTTGTTTCTGGTTTGAAGTTCTGAAAACCCCTTTAAAGAATCTCTCAGTGCATAAAGAGTCGGTCTGTGGACCAAGGGGTCCCAGGTTCGATTCGGTCAAAGGTCTTGGTCAGGCTCATGCAGGAGGCATCCAATCCATGTGTCTCTCTCACATGGTGTCTCTCTGTCTTTCCCTCTCTCTTCCATTCTCCCTAAAAATACCCCTGGGTGAGGAGTAACTATAAAAGAACCCCTCAGTGGAGAGTAAGGGCAGCTGAGTTCTGATCATGGTGAGAGCCCATGAGCTTTCTGGCTGCCCAGCCGCAAGGAGCTCGGCTGAGAGGAACTTTCCACCTTTACTCTTCAGTCCGTAGCTCCGTGGTTGTGACACATGAAAATCCCAGCAGATGGGCTTCGTGTGTGAGTGCCGCTGATGCCGCTCACAGTGAAGGCCATGCTCAGGACACTTCTGGCAGTGTGTCCGTCAGACAGTGTGCTCTACCTCCAGGCCACGTGTGACCTGTGTTCCTGTTTGAGGGGGTGGTCCCACCTTCTGTCTCTTCTGGTCTCTCCCCCCCCCCCAACATCCTTGTCCTGCTTCCGGTGTGGGTCCCCTCTTTCTCCCAATGCTGAACATTGTGAGCGAGAGTCCCCCAACTCTCCTTGTATATCATCATCACACCTCCCCAGTTAGACCTGAAACCAGCAGTTAAGAAGCCTTTCGGTATAAAATGCAACATCTACAAACCTATTAAAGTCCTTCTTGTATGCCATTGTCAGGGAAATAGGCCCCCTTTGAACTTGCTTCGCATAGGAGGCTTATTTCCTCCCCTGGATGTGGCCAGCCAGGACCGTGCTTCCTCCATCCTGGGGCTGTCCCCTCGCTTGGAGAAGGCCCCCAGGCCCACTGCCGCAGCTGGCTCGCTCTCGGCGTGTTGACTGCCAAGGGTGAGATGGGAAGGGTTGGCTCAGCTCCCTAGTTGCCCAGGGAGGCCCAGTGGTCCTGGGCACGTCGGGGTGACCACAGGCGCTGCAGAGGGGAAAAAGTGGGTCCATAGGAGTCTGAAAAACTCCCAGGAAGAGTTGTCATTGCTGACATGACAGCTTCCCCTGGTCAGGAGGGTTACCCTGAAATGGAACGTGGTTCTCTCAAATGGACGGCTTGCTATGGGTGTCTTCCCATCAGGCACCTCATCTGGAGGGAGCTGGGCACGCCGTGCTGATTGCTAACCTCCCAGCCTCTGACTCTGAGCCCTGGTCAGCCTGAAGGTCCCTACAGGAGGCGCCGGTGGGCGAGGCGGGTCCTACTGGGCCGGTGCCTTTTTGGCCGGTGCCAGGAGGTCCTGTGGGCAGGTGCCGGGGAGCCTGGAAGTGTGCACTGTGTGTAGCTTCTCTTGCCTAGCGCCGGAGCTTGTCTGCTTGGGTGCAGACCGGCGGGCGCACACAGGCGCTGGCTAGCTTTGCTGCTGCTCCAGTGGGCGCCTTGCCGGGGTGTGTGTGTGTGGGGGTGGGGGAGGGGGTGGGGGGGGAAGAGGGTTTTTTTTTGTGCTTCCCGCTCCTCCCCGGGCGAGGAGGAGCAGCAGGACAGAGCGCAGTGTGTGCTTCCCGGCTGTGTTGGCCCCGTTTCTGAAACAGACCTTGGGATACAGGATCCTAATGTTGAACAAAGTTGTGTTTCCCCCCTATCTGTTGATTTAATGAAAGGCGAGAAGGTATGAGATTTAATTAAAACCACAGAGGAGTATAGGAGTTCCCTTTGTGGAGAAGAAACCAGTTTTCATAAACTAGGGGCTCGGACAGGTTCAGATGGCTGCTCTGAAACCGGCGCCTGGCTGGGAGGGAGCGGGCGTGGGCGTGGGCATGGGCGGCAGCTCCCCTCCTGGCACTCACCCGCACGCCGGGCACAGCGAACCTGAGAGCGGGACTGCACCCCCATTCACAGGTGAGCGTCCTCAGGCTGGCGGTGCAGCCCTCACTGCCTGCAAGTGGCTTTGCCCAGACAGGCTGGCGCCGGGCTCCTCCTGGGACCCTGCACTGCCTTTCCTCACAGCTAGCGTGCATCCTCCAGCCGGTCTCTGACTGACACCGGAGGGTCCGGGGGCAGCAGCTTGTTACCCTTCCCCACACCCTTCAGTGTAGTGGGTGTGCACACACACAGCCCTCCGTGGAGCTTGCTCAGCCCCAGGCTGTAACACACTCACACACGCACACTCACATACACACACAGCCCTCCGTGGAGCTTGCTCAGCCTCAGGCTGTAAAACACTCACACGCACACTCACATACACACACACACACAGCCCTCCGTGGAGCTTGCTCAGCCCCAGGCTGTAACACACTCACACACGCACACTCACATACTCAAGCACACACACACACACACACATACACACAGCCTTCTGTGGAACTTGCTCAGCCCCAGGCTGTAACACACACACACACACTCTCACACACACACACACACACACACACACAGCCCTCCGTGGAGCTTGCTCAGCCCCAGGCTGTAACACACTCACACACGCACACTCACATACTCAAGCACACACACACACACACACACACACACAGCCTTCTGTGGAACTTGCTCAGCCCCAGGCTGTAACACACACACACACACTCACTCACTCACACCCACACACCCACACACACACACACACACACACACACAGCCTTCTGTGGAGCTTGCTCAGCCCCAGGCAGTAACACACACACACACACACTCACACACTCACACACACACACACACAGCCTTAATGTGGAGCTTGCTCAGCTCCAGGCTGTAACACACACACACACTCACACACACACAGCCTTCTGTGCAGCTTGCTCAGCCCCAGAATGTAACACACTCACACACACTCACACAGCCCTCCGTGGAGCTTGCTCAGCCCAGGCTGCAGGCGGGAGCAGGGTGTGGGTTGTCCGCACCCGCTCACCCAGTGCAGCTCTGTCCTGCTGTGAGCCGTGTTCCCCACGCCCTGCTATCGAGGCCCAGCTGGCCTCGCGGCTTCCCGCTGGGACCTGCCTCACCTAAGGAGCTGGGTCACCGTGGGTAAAGCTCTCCCCACCAGCTGTCCTGCTGGGCTGAAGTCCTGTCTCAGCCCTCTCCCGAGTTTATTACCTAAAGTTTCTGAGCCAGAATTACCTCGGGGCCTCCTGTCATTTTGTGGTCAAGTGACACCGACAAGTGACACCGACAAACTGGCCCAGAGTCACTTCCCTGCTCCCAGGCGCCAGGGGCTGTTGGGGCCCAGCACTCCCTGGACCAGCTGCCTCCGGGACGTCTGGCCTGTGCCTCCGGGGGGCGGGCTGCCAGCACTGCCCAGTTAGAGTCTGACACCTTGGAAACCACCTCCGTTATCAGCTGGAGGCTTGGCACATGTGGGGTGAGAGTGAGATGCAGCCACTTAGTGGGCAGTGGCTGGGGTCTTTTCGAAGGAGGTTAAGTGGGGTGGAGGGCAGTCATGCTTACAGGTGCTTATCCAAGGATGCCAGTGAGTTTTTTTATGGTGCCTGCGAGTCTAAGTGCATTTGGACAGCAAGTGAGAAGTAAACACTGAACTAGCGGGCTCACAGGGGAGTGGGAGTGGAGTCTTTGCCGAAGAGCAGCTCGTCAGGACGGCCCACCCCGACCTGGACCTGCGCGCTCGGGGGTGTCTGTGCTGCTCAGGGAGCTGTGCCTCCCGGGCCTGAGTGGGCGGGAGGGAGCAGAGGGTTTTAAATCGAGGAGCTGGGGCGGCATCTGGGAGGGGGTGTTACATGTTCCTCCCGGTGTGATGAGTGATTGGAAGCTCTGGGCTGTCACAGGCGCTCCCCGGCGGTCCAGCTCTTCCCGGGGGGGCTCCGGTGCTCCCAATGCCGCGGTCCTGGAGGTGGGCTGAGGGGGCCCCTGTGTGTCAGATGCAGGTGGCCCGACAGGCATTTCTTTCAAAGTGACCAACACAGCGTGGGTGCTCACTCACTCACTCACTCACCCTTGACCTCTAAATGCCTTATGTCTCCCCTCTTAGCGGGCATCGGGGCGCAGGTGAGTGATGGGGAGGCTGAGGAGTGAGGAAGTTGGAGGCAGTTGTGGGAGGAGCAGATATGGCTCCTCAGGTCTGACAGCACACTGTCTCCACAACAGGCCGCAGGGGAACGGTGAGGACTGGTGTGCTGGTGCCTCCGGGCACCCACAGCCTCTGAGAGAGGGAGCAGCACGCTCCGGCTGGACACGAGGCGGCCCCCGGGCCCCGGGCGTGTCCTCCCAGGAGAGCGCTGGGCTCTCGTCCGACTCGGCAGGAGGGTGGCAAGTTTCCCATTTCCCGAGATGCCGCTGGTTTACTTGGTTTGGTTCTTCCAGGAGGAGCTGGCTGACGGTGCGGGCCATGGACGTCGTCACCTCTGCGGCCGCCCTGTCCCTGCTGTTCGGCTGCGTGGGCCTCCTCGGCCTCCTCCTCACGCTGCGGCAGCGCTCGCGGATGAAGGCCCACCTCCAGGACGCCGTGGTGGTCATCACGGGCGCCACCTCGGGCCTGGGGCGAGGTGGGTCCCTGGGCAGTGCTGTCTGTCAGGCTGGAAGGCTCAGCGCGGGGGGCGGGGGGGGCGGACACAGCGCGGGTGGAAGTAGGTGGAGTCAGTGGAGACTTGGGAGCAAGGTCTGTCCCAGCGCTCAGCCCAGCTCCTGAGAGCAAGGGCGGACGTGCAGGAGACTTCAGCCTAGCATGGGGCGAAGCTGGGAGGAGGGCCGTGGCCCTGGAGGCCATGTCCCCAGCGGGCAGCCTTGCTCAGCTCCAGGCTGAAATTGGGCTTTTTATGTAAAGGCCTCGATTTTCAAATATGGACAGTTCAGGCCCTCTGTGAGGGCCACCCAGCACCCCTGGTTTATAGCCTTTTTGTTGTGAATCCTTATCTGAGGGTACTTTTTCCATTGATTTTAGAGACAGTGGAAAGGAGAGAGAACTATAGAAACATCGATGAGAGAGACGCATCGGTTGGTTGCTTCCCACACTGGGGCCGGGGATTGAACCTGCAACCCAGGTATGTGCCCTTGACTGGGAATTGAACCATGACCCTTTGGTGCTCAGGCCGACTCTCTAACCACTGAGCACGCTGGCCAGGACTCCGCGCCTCTTCTTGCCTGGGCCATGCCTGCAGCTGCACCGGACACAGCGTGGCAGGGCTGGAACCAGGATGTGTGATGCCTCAGCTCCCCGTTTCTTCAGCCTAGGCCCTTCCAGTTCAGGGAGCGTCTGCGCTGCTGGGTCCTTCAGTCGTCGCCCCTCCTCCCAGCAATGAGTTTACAGAGCTGTCCTTAGTTCCCTTCCAAACAGGGGAAGGGGTGATACATGGCCCCCTAATTCACACCCACCCTGCGTGGGTTCGTGTGGAGATAGTGAGGCGGTGACGCCAGCTCTCCCGAGGCCCTTTGGCACGGCAGGGACAGGACTCCACCTATCTGGCCCGCCAGCCGGGGAGAAGGCCCGGGTCGTTTTAAATTAAAGTTACTTTAGAAACAGCTGGGGCTGGAGGACAGGCCACTGTGACCCTCCTTCGCTCCCTGAAAGCAGGAACCGCACCTCCAGGCGCTGGGACGCTGTGTGGGCACTGGAAACATCGGGGACACTTTGTAAAGTACCGGGGCACGATGGTCTAGCCACTGGCTGGCACTGAAACCAGTGCCGGCACTGCGGAGGTTTCCAAAGGCCCCCCCTGCACCAGGAGGCAGCGGCCCTCTTGTCACCAGAGGTGGTGAGTTCAAGGACGAGAGGCTTTCTGAGCAAACCTGTGAATTCTTCACCGATTTACTGCTCACAGCGCGAACCCCTTGGTCTTGTCAGTTCGTCACAGATTTATTGTGTTTGTTTTTGTCTGAAAGATAAAAGCTGCCTGCTTTGCTCACATCTGAGAGCTTCCTGTTGGGGGAGGCTCCCGTGCATTCACTACAGCTTCCCTGTTCCCTGTCTTACGTCAGGCTCATTGCAGGCAGCCAAGGCGGGGGCACTCCTTCCTGCGGGGAGTGTTCAGAGGCCACCGGCCGCCCTCGTGCTCAGCCCCTCACCTCGCGCGCGCAGGTCCGTGCAGGCCCACCGCTGCGCCTCCGGCTGGCCATAGTGCAGCCGGCGCTGATGGGCACCTTCCCCGACAGCCTCTGGCAGGTGCTGGACAGACAGATGGGAGCCTCCTGTCCCTCAGGAGGGAGAGGCAGGGACTTGCTCAGGTCATTGCCATTCCGGGGGGGTGATGGCAGCCAGGCCTGGGAGCGGGAGGGTTCGTGCGAGAGCGCCGGCTGTGCTTCTGTCCTGGATCCGTGCAGCGGAGTCAGGGAGGTCTGACCAGCCCCAGCACTTCTGGCCGGAAAGGGTGAGGCCGAGATTTAAACCACGTCTCTGACTCCAGAACTCAGTCGTGTCTGACCTGAGGGGACATGACTCAGGAAAAGGGAGGCAGGGCAGCGGGGCTCTGTCACTGCAGGCCAGGCTCAAAGCTGGGCAGCACAGTGTGCCCTGGGAACAGGGGAGCAGGTGGGCGTGGCTGTGGGGCCAGAGGGGGGGAAGCTGTGGGGGAGATCCCTCCAGTGCCTGTGGAGCGGGCGAGTCTCTCCTGGGGCCCGGGCCTGTCCTTAGACCCGCAGACCTGCACAGGGCCAGTGCCTCCAGGCCACAGCCAGCCGGTGCTCCGCCTCCCTCACACTGTAAGTAGGCAGTCCGCACCGCTCTCTCAATCCCAGAGAAGCCCTCCTTCCGGGAGTCCTGAGCTTGTGAGAGGCGGGGGGCGGGAGGTGTGGACACAGGTGCTCCGGTTCTCGTTGTACATGTCCTCTCCGACACCATGCCGTGAAGGGGGTAGAAAATGCTGCTGGCAGCCTGCCCCTTTAACACGGGGGGGACAGGACTCCATGTATCTGTCCCTCTAGCCAGGGAAAAGGCCCGGGTTAGGCCTGGCCAGGGTCGCTAAGTGGTTAGGGTGTTGGCTCACACACCGAAGGGTTGTGTTTGATTCCCAGTCAAGAGCATGTGCCCGGGTTGCGGGTTTATCCTCAGCCCTGGTGGGGTCAGTGCAGGAGCCAACCATTCGATGTGTTTCTCTCACATCAATGCTTCTCTCCCCCGCACCTCCTTGCCACTCTCTTAAAATCAACGGGAAAACTATCCTCGGGTGAGGATAACAACAACAAAATAGGAACAGAGTCTTACCAGGCGTCGCAGCCGCTGTCAGGAGGGCTGCAGCCCTGCCGCGCCCTGCCCTCAGCCCGTGCTCTGCGTCTCCCGTGTGTGCAGTGCAGCCACACAGGTGTCCTTGTGCCGTAGCAGGCTGCTGTCAGAGGAGCAGCATGTCTCAGGCCGCTCTGCCAGCCTGAGCCCTGAAGCAGCGAGCTGCCTTCTTGATCTGCAAGCCAGGAGGGTGCCTGAAGCCTAGATACATAGACCTGAGACTCCCTTTCCCCTCGACACCCCCTTCCTGGGGCAGCTCTTTCAGACATGAAGATGGAGCCCTTCCGGCTGGTATCTGCCTCCCTATCACCCCTGTGCCGCTTTAATGTCTCCCTGCTCTGCTAGGAAGCAAAGCTTCCTGAGCGCCAGTGGCCACTGTCCAGAACCTCAGCCAGCAGCTGCCTCCCTCCCCCCGGCTCTGCAAGTCCATTCAGTGCCTGTGCCCTGCAGTGGCATCTCAAAGTGCCCATATGTGGGCCAGAGCAAGGCCAGAGGGGGTGAGGAAGCCAGCAGGACTGGAAGTTCCTCATCTTGGGAATGGTTTGGTAAACAGGAGCAGTCCTGGCCTCAGGAATGCTGCCTCTCCACCTCCTTGGCCTTGCTGCCTGGGGAGAACAGCCAGGCCTCCCGGGCAGGCTGGGCAGGACAGGCAGAGAGGGCTGTAGGCTGGGCAGGGGCAGGCGGGGCAGGGGCAGGCCTGATAGGAGCAGGCTGGGGTGGAGCAGGCTGGGCGGGGGCAGGTTGAGAAGGCTGTAGGCCGGGCAGGGGCAGGCAGGGTGGGGCAGGCTGAGAGGGCTGCAGGTGGCTGGGTCTGTGTCCTTTGTCTCGATGAGCCAGTGAACAACCAGCTGGAGCTTCGCCTGAGAATGTACTGATTCACCTCTGTCCCTGCTGCCTGCTGGGCTGTGCGGGAGGCGCGGCCTGCCCCTGCTCTGGTTTAAATGCTGAAGGAGTGGCAGGAGGCGCTGCAGGGCATAAAGGAAGACTTTGCTCCGGGCAGTCTAGAGGTCAGCCTTCCTCTCCCCAAGGGTCTTGGCATTTCTCCTCCAGGTTCCACAGCCTTTAGCTGTCAGCAGGGCTTCTCTCTGGGATTAAGAGAAGGGCTGTCAGACCAGTGACCCTGCTTCACTCCGGAGAAGTGACAGCTTGACCCTCACCCTCTCTGAGCACCCCTGCCCCCCGCTGTGAGCAGAGGGCAGAGGACACCACTGGGCTGCCCACCTTTGAGCTCTCCCTGACCGCGCTTAGCCAGGGCACAGGGTGCTGAGGGAGGCAGACTCGGATGCCATGAGGACAGGCAGGGATGCCCCCTAAACTCTGGCCTTGCAGGCTTCACCAGCAGTCTGATTTACTAGTAGAGTGTTTAAAAAGGCAGCTGAGGCCCTAGCTGGTTTGGCTCAGTGGATAGAGTGTCAGCTTGGGAACTGAGGGATCCCAGGTTCTATTTCAGTCAAGGGCATGTACCTTGGTTTCAGGCTCATCCCCAGAAGGGGGAGTGCGGGAGGCAGTTGATCAATGTTTCTCTCTCATCGATGTTTCTAACTCTCTATCCCTCTCTCTTCCTCTCTGTAAAAAATCAATAAAATATATATTTTTAAAAAGGCGGCTGAGGAATACAAAGCAGTACTCCTGCAGTACTTTCTAAGGAGAGTTTGTACCCAATCTGCTTCACCTCATCAGTCTGTTTCCTCCATGTGAGGTGAGCTAACCAGGCCACAGAACCCGTGTCGGAGCTGGGTGAACACGGAGGTCAGACCCGCCCTCTGGCACCCGGGGTGGTGGTACCAGTTTCTGTAAGCTGCTCCCCTTTCCTTAGAGAGCGTTGGGGCAGGCCTCGCCCTCTGCCTCCTCCTCCGCTGCAGGTGGCCGGGGGCCTGCCCCCTCTTGGGCTCAGGGGAGTACGTGGGACCCCTGCTGAGCCAGTCCACACCAGAGCTCGGAGGAGGAGACAAGCCGAAGCTCCTGCCTGCCAGGGAGCTGTGTGGAGCCCGCACAGCTGGTGAGGAGCCGGGCTGCAGAGGGCGAGAAGGACGCCAGCCTGAGGGAGCTGCTGCCTCGGCCCTGGCGGCCTCCACCCCGCCCTCCCACGTCCGGCCAGTCAGCTCCCTAGTGCGTGAGCTCTCCTGAGCCTCCTGAGGAACCCTCTTGGCGTTGCCCCGGGAAGCCGTGCCTCTGCACCGAAAGGATGTGACGAGCGGAGGTGCCCACTTCCTCTGCCTGCGCCTCCGTCCTAGGGGTGCCCTCCCATGGTCAGCTGGAAGAGTAGGGGTGCGGTGCCGGGAGGAGCCTTTAGCATGCAGCCCTCCTGCCATGGCTGCTGGAGGCTCTCCA